GAATTATCATTTCATGACAATTCAAACATTCCAGGCTAAATGTATGAACTATTAATTATCAGATGATATATTTAAATATGATTATTCTCCCTGTCCCTTAGGTAACCAAACAGATTGTGAACAATAATTAAACAACTATAAAAGGTATTTTAAAGCATGCTGAATGTGTTGCCCATAAATGAAGTAAAATGCTCCAGCCCTGCTTTGTTTGAAGAGTCCATGCCAATTGCAATCCAGGCCTTTCACTCTGCAGCACTTACACAAGAGAGCAAAGGACCAATATCTATTATTTTGGTATAAAGTCAATAGGACATTCTCTGTCAATTCTTTATCACTGTGAATATGTCTTCTAAATGGACAAATGTACTACCAAAAAGGACCTTTCTCCTCTTCTTTCAATCTGACAAAACAAAACCCTGAACAAAGACTCACCTGAAACTTTCAGCATTCAGAAAAAAGGGAAACAAGCTTTCTACTATGCAAGGGTGACAATAATTCAACACTTGACCTACTCATCCAGTAGGCAGGACATGCTACTGGAAACCCTTCTTCTCTTTCCTGAGCCCTGCCTGATTCGACATTCTTTACCTGTTGTTGTTGGTTTTTTTTGGTAGAAGTTAGGTCTATTAGCCAAAATCCATTTATTGAAAGATTTCAGCAGCAATTAATAGTTGTGTTTCTGACACAAGGGAGCACACATATTTTTTAAGACCACTCACTCATACAACTCACATATTGCTCAGTTAGCAAAGGAAAGCTCTAACAATGACTTAACCATATCAGAAATGAGTATGGAAACCAAGCCTAAAGTATATTAAAAAAAACAAAGCAAAGCCAAACCTGTGGACCCAATGTGATGGGAAGAAGAGAGTGTACAAGTTGGCAGTCATTTTCAATCTAGAATTCCTCTAGTCATGTTCAAGAAGCAATTGCAAATGTCTAACATTGTCTGCAAAAGGACTCTTGATATTTTAAAATGGGTTAAGTTTACTTGGTGGCAGAATTCCCTATGATTTAGGTCTTAACTGAATGTCATCAGAACGGCTCCTGAAAAACATATAATGAAAATTCATGCCAAGTATGCTCTTTTTAGAACAATTTCTAATAGTTCAAGATATGCTAACATGGAGATAGTTTTACCATGGATGCTTTATATGGGTCTTTGTGCACTGTAGCAGAAATTAATAAATAGAAATTAATAAATAAATAAATAAATAAATAGACTTAAGAAATTCTATTATTTCCATAATTATCTTAAGATGTTGACATAATGTCAATGTCCTAACATTATAATTATGTTTCTTCAAGCTGTCATAAGTGAACATTTATTTTCAATCTATTATCTAGTTTTTTTAAAAAATATGGCAGGATGTTACACTTAAAGATAAATAAAGGTGTTCTTCTTAATCTGCAGGGAACATGTTCTCTTCATACCTCTCGCAATGTAATGGTGACAAAACATATAAGCAAAGAGAACACCTACAGCGTCATCTATTGTGATGATGCTGTAGGTAAAAATAAAATAGCCTTTTGCTTTGCATCACCTCATAACTGTGGCTAGATAACTAACAAATTGCCTTTCCATCACCAGCATTCAAGTGCTCTATGGAACGATAAGATCTTAAGTGCCTTCCTAAAGGCAAAGAGATTAGTGGCATTCTATTCCCTTAGGACCTTAGGTTCTACTCTTATCACTTTTCATGCAATAGAAACCCTTGGCATATCCTCCCAGAAAAGTAGCACAAGGTGGGCTAAATCTTGTTAAGGAAGATGATCCTGTAAATACCCAGGAGCCAAGCTATGGAGAGTTTTAACAATGACAACCAGCACTTTGAAATGGACCTGCAGGCAATTAAAATAGCAATGTACCAATACTATCATTATTGTTAATGTAGAGGAGAGGGAATAGGGCCTTGAGGGATAGGACGAAGAGTCACTGCCAAGGTAATCATGAGGTAATCAAAATCCCCAAGTGTGGCCTAGAAGTCTAATGCATGTAAACATCTCACAGGCCCCTCCCTAGTTCACACAAGGTAAAGGAAGAGAGGGGAGAGATACACTCAGACTTGCAAGGACCTATTACTATAACTTTTAAAAAAAAGTAATATTGATCTTCATGATTTTAGTTGCCTAGTCTGGTCTATCTTGAAGGGCTAACCATTACATTGCTAAATCTGCTAAATTGCCAGCTAGCAAATAAACAGATAGGACAAGTATTCGCTTCCAAGTCACCTTAAAAAGGCAATCCAATATTAAGTGGATGCAGTGGTTTAACTATGAGGTGATCAGGACATGAGTCACTGTTGTCATGGCCTCCTAATCCAAAAAGACCAATAATTGGCACAGCAGCCAAATCTGGGTGAAGGAACTCCTGGCCAGGGCCCCCACCTCCGCTACTAGCAAGTGCCAGAAGGCCAGGAAAATCTTCACATCACGGACCTGCTCCCTTAGAGAAAGACCACATGCAGAGTCAAAGTTAGATCAAGGTTGACCAACCATGAACAAACAGTAAGTTCTTCTTGCAAAGTTTTGATTCATCTGTCCTTCACAGACTGATCATCCCCATTTTATAACTAAAATTGTATCTATCTTTAGTTTGGATTAAACTAGGTATACAAAGAATGCAAGAAATCCTGTAGCCTAACACAAGGAAAGAAATAGCAGAGTAGAAAAACCTAAGCTACAACTTCTTCCTCTTCCTGCAACCTCTTAATTTTCCCTTTACCTATAAATTCTAGTCTCTTCCACTTATATGCTTACATATGTATACTTACCAACATTATCTACTGCTCTATTCTAGATCCACTCTAGTAGTAATTGAGAGGCCAGGTTCACAGAATGCCTCCCTACCTAAGCCTAACATGTATTATTATATGACAATGCTAGTAATATTAAAATAACTTAGACAAATGTAGAAAATAAGTTTTGAGGTTTTCATAGTTTATTTTTATTATGAATTTGTATCTCATAATTATTAAAATTGATTTATGTATTTATTTTTCTCTGTAGATGCCAACATAGGACACTGCTCTAATAATTGGGAAAGGGAATGAATGAGACAAAGTGAAGGAAAAGAAGGATTCAAAGAGTGACTGCATTTGAATAATAAAAAAGGGAATGAGTGTGGAGGATATATGTTAAGCATGTTTAAAAAGCAAGTGCAACAGAAGCTTAGTTTTGTTATTCCCTTAAAATGTTTCCACTGACAAAGAGACATGCCACATATAAAAGTGAACCAGATCCATATCAATAACCATTAATGTGTAGATATAAGATCAGTGACTTAGGTTGCGTATACTTTCTGTGAAACATCTGGATAGAGTGGATCCCAAAACTTATCCTATAGAAATCTGCTTGTCTATCAACATTTTCAATAAAATGATTAGCTTATTGTTCCAGTCCATCAAAGTTGCAATTGATGATCATAAGCCATAGTCGTCTTGCTGGTATTTTACTAAATCTGAAGAATTCATTGCAAATTTGAATATTCTACAGTCTGAATGTAGCTCACATTATTTGAAAAAGTACTGTTAAATCCAACAGTATCGTTGCTGTCAGTATGCTGACTTGGAAAGAAATCTTATTGATTTATTGGGTAGTTATGCTTAAACATGCATGATTTGGAAATAATGACTAATTGGCTTAAATAAAAGCACATTAGTTTAGCAAGCTTGTCGGACAGCTATCCATCTCAATACACAAAAGGCAATTCTTTTACATAGTTGAAAATGTATAAATGATGGAAGATACCAGAATCCTAATTTGGAAATGTTTTTTTAATTAATTGATTATTTACTACAAAATGCTTAAAAGGCATAAGAATTTGCAGCAATTTCTTGGGACAAGTTTTATGAGTCAGTGATCCAGTCAGATTAAGAAACATTCACATTGAATCTCTTTTCTGAAATGAATACAGAATGGTACTATGCCCTCGACACTGAAATAAAATTGTGCTCTAATATTAGCATGGTAGTGGTGTTTGTTTATAGTGCAAATCCTTGAGGAATTGACACAGGACTCTGTTGGCAAGCATAAAATCACAGATTGGGTGTGCACTTAAATGTCTTATGAAATGGTTATTGCCACAGAGAATATCTTGAGTGCAGGCTGGACTTCTACAGTTTAATGCGGAAAAGATTATATCAGGTAAATGGACAACATTTTTTTTCTTTTTCTTTTTATAAAAATTACTTATTCAAACTTTTCAGTTCTGTGATACTGAAGAACAATAAACAGTAAAATAAAAGTAGGCAAAAAGTTTTAAGAAAGGGGGAAAACAATCAAAATCTCTTCCTTTATTTAGAATAGTGAACTACCGTACATAATTTGAAGGTAGTTGTATTTTGGGTACAATAAAATCCAATAAAATAGATTTATCTCTGTACTAGCATAAATATTTATAACATAAGCTAATAAATAAAAATTAATATGATTCCCAGGGTTTTTGTTTTTGTTTGTTTGTTAACATTGAATCCCATTATTGTAGCTTACAGGATAAATCAAATCCCTTCCTAAAAATTATTTGGCTCTACTACTGGACCATCAGCCAACAGACACATACAAAAAAAAAAAAAAAAAAGGTTTTTAAATCCTGCATTGATTCTGCTTTTTTAAAAAAAAAGTTATACGTAGGTGTCTCTTCAGCCAGCTTCACATTCAGGAATAAAATACTAAGTTCTATAAGTAAATAATATAGGTCTTAGGTAAATATTATGCAAACTTCATGTTAATATTGACTATTTCTATTCAGAACATACTATCTACTTCAAACAGCCTTGCTTCCTCTCTCTTCTTCATACTTAGCCAACAACAAATCCATGTCTATTTGTGAGAGTAGCAATTCTGTGCAGACTATCAGCACTTTAGCACTTGAATCTCAGTCTCAGACCCCTTGAAACTTATTTTGGGCAGGCAGAGAAATATGGAATATGACAGCATGTAGATGAGCAAGGATATCTGCAGTAAAACCATGCTTTCATTAAATAACAGTTGTCATTTACCTGAATAATCTTATCACCAGGCTGAAGCAGGTTGGATGCTGGCCCATCAGGCTGAACCCTAGTAACAAAGATACCCTACAAGTCAAAAACAACAGAAATTAGACAACTGAGAGCTCACTAAAGGTTTCTGTATAGGTTAAATCAGTGACTGTCATAATACTAATGACCATTACAATAGTTGTAACCAATCTCTTTGCTGATTTCTAAGTTTTCCATAAGCTATAAAGCTGTTGTTCAGGTATACATGTTAATCTATCATTTTATTGAATTGGAAGCCACAACCTCTGAAACTCTCATACAGATGTATGTTTTCTGTGTTGGAATATCTTTCTCAGTCTCTCACAAAATGAATCTTATAGATTTATATCATATTAGCAGTTCCTATATTGACCTGAATAGTATCTTTTGCTATAAAACCAAACAGCATCTACAAAGATCTTTTTAATATTAAATTGTATTCTTGAATTAAGATGCAGAAGAAACAGAATTTCAGGCAATATCTACCGTGTTTCTCATAAAATAAGGCCGGGTCTTATATTTTTTTGAGCCCTGAAAAAACGGCTAGGCCGTCTTTTCGGGGGTGACTTAATTCTCCCCCTTGCATCCTCATCTAGAGCGCCCTGCAGGCAGCTTCGCCACCAGCCGCTCCTAACGGGTGATCATGTCGAAGCGCAGAGAGCTCCCACCAAACACCTTTGCTGCAGACCCAAGACCTTTGGCACCCGCCGCTGTTGCTTTCCCTTCTGCCCATTCTGCCGCCACGTTTGGAGCTGTCGCTTCCGTGTTTGGAGTGCTGCTGCCATTTGGAGTGCCGCCACCATTTGGAGCACCGCCGCCACGTTTGGAGCTGCCGCTTCTGTGTTTGGAGTGCCGCTGCCATTTGGAGTGCTGCCGCCATTTGGAGCACCACCGCCACGTTTGGAGCTGCCGCTTCCATATTTGGAGTGCTGCTGCCATTTGGAGTGCCACCGCCATTTGGAGCACCACCATCATGCCACTTCCGCATTTGGAGCTGCCGCCATGTTTGGAGTGGTGGCAGTGCTCCAAATGGCGGTGGTGCTCCAAATAGCGGCAGTGCTCCAAACGTGGAAGCGGCAGCTCCAAACGCAGAGGCAGCTCCAAATGCAGAAGCGGCAGCTCCAAATGGCAGCGGTGCTCCAAACAGCAGTGGTGCTCCAAACGTGGAAGTGGCAGCTCCAAACACGGCGGCGGCATGGGCAGAAGGGAAATCAACAGCGGCGGGTGCTGAAGGTCTTGGGTATGCCACAAAGGTGCTTGGCAGGAGTAGGGAGCTCTCCGCGCTCTGCCATGATTGCCCATTAGGAGCAGCTGGTGGCGAGGAATTGCTGCCCGCAGGGCGCTCCTAACAGCAAGTCCCCCCGCCCTTCCCCCCATTTTGCATGTTTTAAAATAGGCCTAAATTTGGGGGGAGGGGCTTAATTTCATTTTATGCCTAGAAAACATGCTGGGTCTTCCTATTGGGGGAGGTCGTATTGTTGGAGAAACACGATATTGAATATATTGTAGGAGATGACCAGGCTGAACCCGAGGTAGGCATCAAATGCAACATCAGTCTTGAGTCCCTTCATGCCTACAAGAGATTTAAGTCCAGCCCACCTTGAATTCTATTGACTCTTATCTACTGCCTATTTGCTCTCAAAATTAGTAGGTCAGATTCCTGCAATAAACCTTTATATTCATTTGAACTGCCTGGACTTTCTGATTTTCCTGTGCTTGACATGTACAATGTTACTAAAGAACAGGCCAAATCTTTCTTATAAACCAAAAATGCTACAAAAATGTTTCCTAAGTTTCATGGGAATTGAAAATACATATTGAAATAATAAGAAAAAGTAAAAATCTGTTTATCTCATTACTGTCTCATTGCTCTAAGAATGTACATTATGATATGGACCTTCCCATTTGTTTAAATGCTGCTAGTGGATAAATACAAGCACTTGTCTTAATACAATGTTACAGATGCATCAAAAAGCGTTAATGCATATGTATTGTATGCAACATCGCTTTCAACAAAGATTCTAAATGCATAATTGAATGAAAGACAATAGTTAAAGAACCAAAAACATTTGCGAAGAAAATATATGAAATTATTAAAGGCAGATTAACCATAAAGAAATTGCAGTTAATTATTTCACCCAAGGGTTGTATGTTTCAAATTCCAAATGGCCTATTAAAGATTGGGCTGTGGTGGCGCAGTGGTTAGAGTGCAGTACCACAGGCTACTTCTGCTGCCTGCTTGCAATTTGGCAGTTCAGATCTCACCAGGCTGAAGGTTGATTCAGCCTTCCATCCTTCTGAGGTGAGTAAAATAAGGACCCAAATTGTTGGGGGCAATATACTAACTCTGTAAACTGCTTAGAGAGGGCTGTAAAACAGTATATAAGTTTAAGTGCTATTGCTATTGAAAACTCTTAAATTTTTGAAAATGCAATTTATTACCTTATCAGAAGGTTTGAATGGATTTCCTTGGCCGCTTATTCCTCCACTGATACTAAATCCAAGTCCTGGATTCTTCTCTATCCTTACACAAAACTATATATAAAAGATACAGAGTTATGACTGTATTCTTGCATTATGCCGATAATAAGTATAAGTGCTGCACTCAATATTGTGCTGTAATTACTTTAGTAAGACTGATTTTGGTGACTTTATTCATCATTTCAGAAAATATTATTCCTAGAATAATTCTGTGCATTGAAAGAGAGAGAGAGAGAGAGAGAGATGGCTAAGATTTCTGTATTTCTCTACACTATGTATTTCTAGCTTTCATTAAAGAAATAAGGATGATTATATATATATATATATATAATGATGGCCAAATGGCCATATATATATATTTTCTTAAGTTTTCGCGGGTATTTATATGTATGGTATTCA